TTGTGTTCAAGTTTATTATACAACTTTATGTAATGTAAAACATTACAATATGGAGTATATATATATATATATATATATATATATATATATATATATATATATATATATATATATATATATATATATGTGTGTGTGTGTGTATGTGTAAACAAAATTAATGTTATTAAGGAATAAAATATATATTTTTCTCAAATAAAAAAATAATAGAGTGCATTCACTCTATTATCATAGAGTGCATCAGATAAACGTTACGCAATAATATATTCCCAGACTGCTCTTAGCATGTCTGATGATGACGTCAAGCAATACAATGGATTGAATTTAAAAAGCATCCATTTCTTCCAGAAAAGTCTTCAATAATGTCTTTACGATGTAGTTAAGTATTCTTTAATTATTTAAGGATAGAAATAAAGTTTTTTCAGTACTGTAATTACATTATTTTTTGGCGACCCGGAAGTTATTCTGTTTGCGCAGGCGCAAATGAGCTGATGATTCGGATTGTGCTACCGGTACGGATCGGGTAGCGACAGGGATCTATGTGGAAAAAGGGCCCCAGCGTTGTTGCGCACCTCGCTCTTCTAGAAGGCTTGTGATACTCCCGCAGCAGTGTGTCGCAGGTTGTCCTGCGCAACACCACTGCGAAAGGAGTATAGCATTACAATGTCTGCTGGGATGGTGACGTCATCAGCTGAAATAAAAAGAATTTTTTTTTTTTCGTAAGAACTAAATTGGCACAAGATAGTTTTACCTGCAGTAATCAACTAGCACTGAAAAAGCAGATCATTTTAATTCAATTCCGAGCTCCATGGGTGGATTGTTGACCTCTGGATGACTGTAGCACAAATGCTTTATTTATTTTTATTTCCTTAGTTTTTACAAAAGAACATTGCTGAGTTCTTCCACATGTATGGCTGTTTCAGCTTCACGCTGCAGAAGCTTTTCCAATGGTCTGGGGTAAAAACATTGTGCACCTAAAATGACCGCGGACACTGCTTTTGGTCTGAACGCACAGAGAGCTAAGTGTGTTTCTTTTTCACATAAA